GAGTCTCATGTACTTTCCTGCCTGGGCTGGCTTTGAACCGCGATCCTCAGATCTCAGCCTCCTGAGTAACTAGGATTACAGGCGTGAGCCACCAGCGCCCGGCCCACATCGTACTTTAAACTGGATGTTCTATCTAATAGGTTTCCATCACATTGTAAAGAGTAGAAACTATCATAGTTGGATAGACAAGGTTCTCTCACTCACTGCCTTTAAATGAATTTAGTCAAGTAAGGACATTTTGATCAATAAAGGACTGTATAACTACCTATATGGTTGGTAGTGGTCCCATAAGATACAGTTTAGTAGCCAGGTGCTGCTGGCTCATACCTGTAATCCTAGCTACTCAGGAGGCTAAGATCTGAGGATCATGGCTCACAGCCAGCTGGGGCAGGAAAGTCCATGTGACTTATCTCTAATTAACCACGAGAAAATGAAGTGTTACTATGACTCAAAGTGGTACAGCACTAGCTTTGAGCAAAAGTACATGGCCCAGGCCGAGTTCAGGCCTCATGGCCAACCAAAACAAAAACAAAATCCGTAGGTACAGTCTAGAGACAGAGTATTTTAGAGTTTGTGTAAGTATACTCTATGATGTTTGCACATAGATGAAATTGCCTTAATACATTTCTCAAAATACCCCCATTGTTTAGTGGTATAAGATTGTACTTCAATAATATAAAACTATTTCAAGGCCCATGTTTAAACTATGCTGTTTCATGTATCCATAGCCCTCCTATCAGAATCCAGTACTAACCTCCTCCTAGGTTTTTGTTTTTTGGTTTTTTTTTTTTGTCCTGGTACTGAGCCTTAAACTCAGGGCCTTGTGTTCTTAGATTTTTCACTGAAGGCTCATGATCTGCCAATTGAGCCAGATCTCCACTTCAGGTTTTTTGCTGGCTAATTAGAGATAAGAATCTCACATGGGGGCTGGGAAGGTGGCTCAGTGGTAGAGTGCTTGCCTTGCATGCATGAGTCCATGGGTTCAATTCCTCAGCATTACATAAGCAGAAAAAGCCAGACCTGGCGCTGTGGCTCAAGTGGTAGAATGCTAGCCTTGAGCTGAAGAGCTGAGGGACAGCGTCCAAGCCCAGAGTTCAGGCCCCACAACCAAAAAAAAAAAAAAAAAAATCTCACATGGGCTTTTCTGCTCAGGTTCTTTGAACTGCAATCTCAGATCTCAGCCTTCTCAGTAGCTAGGATTATAGGATTCAATCACTGGGTCCGAGCTCCTAGCTACCTTTTTGCCTGTTAATTCTAATTTTAAGGCTCAGGAATTCCAGAACCTTGTCCTTACTCTTCTGTGCTCAATCACCCAGGGTGAGGTATGACTCTCACAGCACTGTGCTGAACTCCTATCATATATGTTCTGCCACAAAAAATGGTAGGTTCAGAGGAGTGACTAGGCTTTTCTTCTGTGTTCCTAACTCCAAGATCACATGGCAGAGAAAAGAACAAAAGCTTAGCTGAATTCTGTGAGTTTCTATCATTAAGTCCAACCACTATGTTTCAAGTACTCCTGCTTACCTGTACTTGTAAGTGCAACTGATCCATCTTTTGCTGTTGCTTCTCCACAATCTGAAAGGCAAAGTTATTAAGGAAGGCTGACAGTGAGGTCAGAGGGCAAGGGGCTACATCAGGAGCTGTGATCTAGTGATCAGTCCCACTAGCTACAGACCCTTAGTTATGAGACCAAGACAAAGACCAGTTAGCTCTACCTACAGAAATCTAACCCAGACTCCTGATGCTAGCTACAGTTTCACATTTTTGTGACTCCTATGTTCCAATCACACACAGAAGTTTACATAAGAATGTATTATAAATGCATGACCAGAGGAATGGGGACCCTCACCCTAATGACCACAGGACAGTGGAACCAACTTTAGACATAGCCATTGCATGTTGTGGTTCTGGGTCTTGAACTCAAGAGCCTAAGCATTGTCCCTGTGCTTTTGTGCCCCAGGTTAGCACTTTACCACTTGAGCCATAGCTCCATTTCTGGCTTTTCTTGGTGGTTAACTGGAGATAAAAGTCTTACAAACTTGGTTGGCTTCAAATCGCAATCCTCAAATCTGAATAGTTAGGATTACAGGCATGAGCCACTGACACCTGGCCACATTATGGTTCTTGGAAAAGGACACAGCTAAAAGTTTAGCAACAAAGTTTATCCTATCCAGGGCTCTAACTGTTTGTTGGTTAGAGTTCTGGTCTCATGGACCATCCAAAGAGAAACACTGAACAGTCTAAGCTTTTGTTTTTCAGGATTTCAAGTACTCTCTGAATCACTTGTGGTTCTTTTATTTTTGGTAGTACTGGGGTTTGCACTTTACTGCTAAGCCATACCTCCATCCATTTCTGCAGGTACTGAGGCTTGAATTCAGGGCCTTCTGTTTTCTTCTTCCTCCCAGCCTACCCCTCCCTATAACTTGGATACCCTCAGTCACCTTTTGGAGAGAATCACATTCCTTCTGCCAAGATTCCAATTCCACTCGTGAATCTTCTCCATTGCATTCCTCCACAAACTGCTTATCTTGCAGGCTGAAAGACAGTTATCTTCTCCTAGAACTCTGAAGTCAGAAATGATTGGTTTTGACTCCTGGTTCAGCCATTTTTTTTTCTATTTTTGAAGAAAGACACCTATTTAGCCATAGCTGAGCATGATGTCTTGTCTGTTGTAATATAGAAGTCCCACACAGAAGATGCTCAATATATGTCACTTCTCTTCCCTAGGAGGCAGAATCTATGCTGTGTGCCATCATTTCTCTACTTGCCAAAGGTCCTTGTCTTTTGTTTTAGAATTTGAAAAACTTTTATCATATGTATTTATGCTATAAATGTGATATATGTAATACTATTGAAAAATATGGCCAGGCACCGGTGGATGCCTATAATCCTAGCTCCACAGAAGGCTGAGATCAGAGGATAGAGGTTCAAAGCCAGCCCTGGCAGGAAAGTCTTAATTCCAATTAATCACCAGAAAACCAGAAGTGGCACTGTGGCTCAAGTGGTAGAGTGCTGGTCTTGAGCTGAAGAGTTCAGGGACAGCATCCAGGCCCAGAGTTCAAGACCCATGACTGACAAAAAAATTAAAAAAAAAAAGAAAAGAAAAAGAAATTTTGGAAAATATAACGACTCCTTTTTCCTTGGTCTGGAGACTAGAGCACAACCAACTTTGTCCCCTAACTCTAGTTCTGACTCTAACCAATGGCCTCCTCAAATGGGGCCCTCACAATCATTTCCAGCAAGGCCCATCTGCAGGGTTGCTGTGATTGAATACAGGAGAGATCCAATCAACCCATTAGAAACTGGATTTATTCCCAAGAGGCTGCTGAAACAGCCACCAATTTTAGAAACTGCTATTAAGATGGAGGAGCTCCCAAGTCACCTTGAGAATATATTATTATGATACCTTGTTTTGTTCTTAGATCCCGTTCTGGTAATACAGAGCAACTCCTAGGCTTGAGGAGAAAACAGATGCTCCTGGTAGCCTTTTGCTTACAAGGTTCAAAATGCAGGCTACTGGTACCAGGATCCACTTGAAAATAAACAAATACCTCATTTCCTAGTTTATAGGATTTTCATTATTCAGTTAGTTCCAGTCCCAGTCTTAGAAAAAAAATACAATAAACATACACCCTATCCCCTCCACCCCCTCATCAGATGAAGTGAAGGGGGTTGCATATTCACCCAAGGTTACACGGGTAAGCAAGGGAGGTAGGCAGTACCAAAATCCATCTCCCTCCTCTGTTCCTCAGTCTCACAGGAGTATTTACCTATGTCTAGTAGAAGAATGTGCTGCTTCCCTCTGTCTCAGGTTTTCCAGCTGAACCTCCTTCTCTCGACAGTCTCCCTGGGTCTCCTTCAGTAAACTTTCTAGCTCAATCACTCTCTCTTGCAGCTCTGTGTTCTTCAACTCAGCATCCTTAAGCTGTAAGACAGGATCCCATGCTTAGGTCAGTAAGTCAAGGAATACTGAATGGACACCTGAGAAAATCTTCAGTCTTGGGATAGAGGTATGGCTTAGGATAGAGGGCCTGACTAACAAGGGCCCTGAATTCAACACTGATACTGTCCCCACATGAGAAGAAAAAATTTGCAATCCAGTTGTAAGTTTGCCAAATATAAATCCAGACATTAATTCCTTTAGGGTTTTTTTTTTTCAGGAAGCCTTAGAAAGTTTCCCCTGACTGTTCACTCCCTGATTGTTCCAGATATGACCAAAGGATTGCTTCTACCTGCTGGCTCTGCTTCTGATGGTCTTCCAGCGTAGGCAAGTCAGCCAGGTAGCGTTCCAAGGTCTCAATACGCTGCTGTTTCTCACGGTTCTGCTCCGATTCCTTCTGACACTTTTTTTTCAAATTATTGATATGTTTGTCACGACCTTTGACCTATGAACAGAAATATCAAGAGTCTATCTCTAGGGCTAGGATGTAGCTCAGTGGCAAGGCACTTACATAGCAAGTGCAATGTCCTGGGTTCGATCCCCAGTTCCAAAAAAGAAAAAAAAGAACCTGTCATTATTCACACTTTTTTCTTTTTTTTGTCATGGGGCTTGAACTCTGGGCCTGCACACTGAACCTCAGCTCTTCAGCTCAAGGCAAGTGCTATACCACTTGAGCCACAGAGCTACTTCCAGTTTTCTAGTGGTTTATTGGAGATAAGAGTCTCATGTACTTTCCTGCCTGGGCTGGCTTTGAACTGCAATCCTCAGATCTCAGCCTCCTGAGTGGCAAGGATTACAGGCGTGAGCTGACAGTGCCTGGCTAAATTTTTTTCAAACTGAACTTTTTTTCTAACTTTCTCCCCCTCAGGACTATGTATACTATTCTGCAAATAAAAATAGGAAGCTAATCAAATTTTGTCTTTTGAAAGGTGGGAACTGGTGGCTTATGCCTATAATCCTAGCTACTTAGGAGGCTGATTTCTGAGGATTGAAGTTCAAAGCCAGCCCGGGCAGGAAATCCAAGAGACTCTTATCTCTAATTAACCACCAAAAAACTGGAAGTGGAACTGTGGCTCAAGTAATAGAGTACTAGCTTTGAGCAATAAAGCTCAGGGACAGTGCCCAGGCCCTGAGTTCAAGCCCCAATATTAGAACAAAATTTTTTTGCTGTATGGGACTGGGATATAAACTATAGTCTGAACTTTCTAAAGGGTAAAGATGAAGAGCTCCTGAGGCCTTGACTTTTTTTTTTGGAGGGGGGGGTCTGGTTGTGGGGCCTGAACACTGGGCCTGGGTGCTGTCTCTCAGCTCTTCAGCTCAAGGGTAGCACTCTACCACTTGAGGCACAGTGCCACTTCCGGCTTTTTTCTTCTTGCTTATGTGGTGCTGAGGAATTGAACCCAGGGCCTCAGGCATGCAAGGCAAGCGCTCTACCACTGAGCCACCTTCCCAGCCCCAAGGCATTGACACTTGACTCACATCCTCAGCCCTGAGCAGTTTTTATAAGCTTATAGCACTTCTGTACTATAATTAAGAATTTACACTATAAATAAAGAATTTCTATAATAAAACTTTTTTTTAGGATAGGACTGTCTGTTATACAGAGAGGGTAAAGAGTCCACCAAGAATGAATTTATGCTAACTAATAGATGACTCAGAAATAGATCTAACTTCCTATAAGAAGTAGAGACTGAGGGCTGGGAAGGTGGCTCAGTGGTAGAGCGCTTGCCTTGCATGCCAGAGGCCCTGGGTTCGATTCCTCAGCACCATATAAGCAAAAAGAAAAAAGCCGGAGGTGGCGCTGTGGCTCAAGTGGTAGAGCGCTAGCCTTGAGCTGAAGGACAGCGCCTAGGCCTAGAGTTCAGGCCCCATGACTGGACCCCAAAAAAAAAAGAAGTAGAGACTGAGTAGGGCTTACATAGTAAGATTCTGTTCTGGATATTCCCTGAAGAGACAGTCCTACTTGCAGGACTCTTAGACCTCACTCTCTATCTCTCTTTATCTGGCAATTCCCTAATTGTATCCTTTATCCAATACTATAATGAAGGTGGCTACCATGATATACATCTGTTAATCTCAGCTACTTAAAAGGATGACTTGGGTCCAGAAGTTTGATTCGAGGCTGGGCGACAAACTGAGACAGTAAAAGGAAAAATAAAAAGCCCAACAACTGTAATTCTAAGTATAGTGCTTTCTAGACACTTGGGAGTCATTCTAGAGATTGAAACTGAAGTAATCACTGGAACCTATGCATTTGTGGCCAGTTGAATGGGTGGCCTGGGAATGAAGAGAGAGGAAAGGGATGAAAAGGAAAAAAGGAAAGAAAAATATCCTACAGTTGTTTTCTGGACTTCTGGGAGTTGTTCTAGAGAGTTACTGAACTTGAGGAAGTCATCAGCCAGTTGGATGGAAGTATGGGTGGTCTGGGTACCCTAGGACTTGAAGCAGGCATCTAAAGCAAGTATATTTTGTTGGTGACACCAGCTTTAAACCTGTGGAGACTGATGTTAATTCCAAGTGGTATGCCTCAGAACTGAATTGCAGTAGTATTCATAACTTCCCTGCAGACACAATCATTAAGTCTGGGCTGGTAAGAAAGGTAACCTCCTTCCCCAAACACCACCCACAATACATTCATGTGCAATCATCTGAAAGGGCTAATGAGACTATAAATTCTTTGAGGAAAGACTATGTCCATTTTGCTACATATCATTTCACTAAAGTCCAACACAGTGCTTGGCACAGAGCAGGCAATCAACATAATAAAAATATTGGAGACTTCCTCTTTGGCTTATGGACAAGGAAGCTGAGAGAACAAGCGAAAACAAAAAATATAAGGCAGATGACTGATAACACAGATGAGACATAGGCCACTTATAGTACTAAAACCATCTTTGAAAATCAGCCAACAGCTTTACCATCTCAGATCTAATCTATAACCACCAAACTTTAAATCTGTAATTCTTACATTTCACTTTGCATCAGAATTACCTGGAAGATTAATGAAAATGCTGATAGATTAATTTTAGATTAAAAAACAAAAAAGTAAACTGACCACAGATGTTTATCTTAATTCCCTTCTGAAGCATCTAAAAAAATGATGAAAGGAATTAACTATCATCCTAAAGAACAGTAAGAGCCAGGTGCTGGTGGCTCACATCTATAATCCTAGCTACTCAGGAGGATGAGATTTGAGGATCATAGTTCAAAGCCCCAGCAGGAAAATCTGTGAGACTCTTACCTTCATTAATCATTACAAAACCAGAAGTGGCTGTGGCTCAAAGTGGTAGAGAGCTAGCCTTGAGCCAAAGAGCTCAGGAACAGTGCCTAGGACTGGAGTTCAAGCCCCAGGACCAACAAACAAACAAAAATAACAGGATGATAAATGTGGAATTTTAGCCTATTTACAAAAGATGAAAGTTGACAGAGAGGCATAAATAATTGGAGGAGCCATAGTTGGCATTGGGGAGTTACAAACAATAATGGGGAACAAGCCGGGCGCTGGTGGCTCACGCCTGTAATCCTAGCTACTCAGGAGGCTGAGATCTGAGGATCGCGGTTCAAAGCCAGCCTGGGCAGGAGAGACCGTGAGACTCCTATCTCCAATAAACCACCAGAAAACCGGAAGTGGCGCTGTAGCTCAAGTGGTAGAGCGCTCGCCTTGAGCTGAA